TCTTTATCATATAATAGTTTATTTTTACATCATTCTGTACATTTTTTTCCCATCTCAATTGTAATCCCCGTGGGTTTCCCATCACCGATTTTCCTCCTATTTTGGGTGCTTGCAGTCTGCAACACCTGTGTTTCCTCTTTGGTTAGTCAATGTGCTTTAACAGAAAAATGTTCTTTCCTACTTCCTGGCGTTTCCCTTTGCTTCTATATTCGGGGTGAGGAACTCTGATATATTTGATATGAATAACTGATAAGGTAGAAAATAAGTTAACATTCACAATTTGTATCCATGTGGTTTTCTGGAGTTGGTAACATCTCAATTTAAGCAAAAGTGTTTTTTTTTTATTAAATACATTTCCTTATGTATTTCTACCAACTCACGTGACCTAAAACTTATTAAATCATTTCTGTCAATAGAGGCTATCATATAGAGCTCCAAAACTAACCACTTTTCATTAGGAAGGAACTTCTAATTCAGGTCTTCATATGGAAAAAATACAACACAAGGTGAAAAAGATATTACAAAATTATGTGAGCAGTCTCTTACCTGAAGCTGTGCAGTGAGAATTACAGGAGTGGTAGAGGGTGGTTGTTCACATTTAGGTTTCTCTCTCCTGAAGAATTCAAGTCAGCCCTTGTCTCCTTGGTGTCCCATTTCAGCAGGAGAATGTGGGCTGCAGAGCGAACAGAGGGGTGTTTGTATCCAAGTTTCTTAGCAGGTTTCTAAAAGAGGGTGACGGCTGGAACGCAGTAGCGAGTACAGCTATCACTGGAAGTCCACACAATGGCCATGTTGCTTACATAGCTTGAAGAGTGGTTACATGCACTCGTCAAGGACCCTGTGGTCTTTTCTGGCTTGGGTAGGAACAATGACACCCTCGCCTTGAAAAGACACTCCTTGGCACACACAGTCAGAGCTGTGGCTCTTGTGCCCGTGGCAGCCCATCTTGGCTGGGTGGCGATTCAGATCTCTGTGTGCACTTGTGTCACCACTGAGCCCCAGTCCGCCATACTTTTTTAAATAAGGATATCACGGTTTGCTTATGGCCCGCCTGGATTATCCGGCTTCTCCCAGTGGCCTCCTCTAGGGATAACACTGAAAAAGTTTTGGCCACATCGCAGAAAATATTTAACTGAAATCTAAATTGGTCCAGCCTCTAGGGAAAAGGGAAAGATGGTGAGGCCTGGATCTAAGTCAAACAATAAGTTGACTTCAAACCCTGTATTTATTTGAATGTTAAATACAAACAAAAGCATTTGTATATACCTTTATAACAACGCAGTTTTTTTTTTCTTTCAAAAAAGAATGACACTGATATAGGAAGGAAAATGTATGACCAAAGGTTCTATGAAACTAAAAAATATAAAAACATAGGTTAGTTATTGTGAAGAACTCATGGAACACTTTCAAAGACTTACTCCTCTGCTCCTTTCCGTGGTTATACACACACCCCAGGTCAAGTCTGCGGTGCTAATGGTGGGATTGGTAATAGCTGTTCCATTTTCATCTGACTATAAACCAGTGTCCTACTTATTCTTTGAATTTGTTCTTCCAGCCTCACTTCATCCAGAGACATGTAAATGAAATGCTTAAATTTATATTAAGGTTGCTACAACTTTAGACTTTGTAAGTGGAGGTATTATACTAATTTTGTTGGGTTCAATACATAAAGAGTCCTTCATAAGGCTGGGCCTCATCATTTAATATGTACATGGTCCAACTGCAGAGAATTTGGAGGAAAGCAGCTTTAGAAGAATAGAAAATGGGTAACAGTGGGAGGAACTGTGATTTTTAAATTGGATAAAAAGACTTTATGGAACAAAGGCAGGAAGATCATTCAATTGATTAATAAGATTTATCCCATTGAACCCCCTAAGTACAGAATTAAAAAAAATAGTTAAAAATTACAGGAATAGGGCCCTCCCTGGTGGCGCAGCGGGTTAAAGCACTGCATTGAGAAGCTGAAGCCACTTCCGCATGAGTTCGATTCCCGCCTGCCCCGGAGGAGACCACATGGTGTGGCAGACCTCTCCTGACCCGCCCGCTGCTCCCCTCAGCAGTGTACTTCGTCGATCTGCCTGCTCTGCTCCCCACTCTGTCTCTGGTGAATCCTCTCACCCTCCGCATCTCTGGCCTGTACCCCAGTTCTATATGGATAAATAAATAAATCTTAAAAAAAAAATTACAGGAATATACAGAATACCTTTCTAATAGAGAAACATACTCATTAATGGGGCAGACTGCTTCAGAAAATTATTTTCTATCATGGTTTTCATCAGACATAGATTGGGATGTGGTAGAAGGGGTTTATTACCAGAATCAAATTTCTTTTAATCCTTTATTCATGCAGGCAACTTCAATGACATAAAAAATGTAATGGGAAATATTAAAGTTAATGAGAATTTGGGGTTTTCATTAACACTGGTAAAAAATGAATAGTATTTTCATAGGGTCACTAGTTGACAGTAGATAAAGAAGGTGGAGTGGAGAATTCTGGATTGTAATTTGGTTAGCAAAGTCTCAGTGGCATATGTGGGACTACAAGTAGTCCAACTTCATTAATTAAAGAAACTGGCATTGTTTCCTGAAAAAAGTATGTGTGGAACTCTTAGTCTCTGAATCAAAATTGGAGGGACTCCTCTGTTTGGTCAGAGATAGTTATGTAAGTGTTATGGAGAGGGTTTGAGGGATTTGGGGGGGACTAACAGGAAAACAACATGACCACAAGGTGGCAGTAGAACATACACGTTTTATTTTGGTAACCGTCACATTGATAAATTTGTTGGCAGTGCTTGACCTTCCAGAGGCTTCTGTTTAGGCAGGACTATTCAGAAAAGGAGGAAGGATACTTCCGGAGAGGGCATCGGATAGAGGACTTAAGTGTCTGAGAAATGTTAGCCTGGAGAAATGTTAGCTCAGACTGTGTGTCTGAGGGTTGTGAGGGGCAGAAACAATGGAATCCTTGTCTTACTGATGGTTAGTGATTGTTAGTTTCAGATTCCCAGGGTATAAAGAGCAGTCAGTTTCCAAATGAGTGAAAATTTGTTTATTTGGACAATGAATAAACGATTGAATATGTAAAAATCTTTGTACCTCTGGGCTTTTGAACTAATTCATTATGCATGTGAGATGTAATGCGATCTTTGGCATTAGAGAAGCCATCTTTGGCTTATTTCTATAATAGATAGTCTTGAAGAGATCATTTGTGATGGCTCTTCCAGACTTCATCATTCATACTCTCTCTAAAGCCTACATTGTGCCAAAAATATAAAAAGTTGGGATAGGGAACCCACAATCCCATATCTAGAGTCATTTTTAGTTTACTTTTCTTGTTTTCTTTCTCTTTCTACATATGGATACTTACACAGTGTTTTTCAAAACTGGAATCATGGTATATGCAGTTTGTCAACAATTTTGTTAATATTATATCATGAGTTCTATTTAGTCTAGCACTAACTGTTCCTTGAAGCAGGATTCTGAATGGGAGCTTGATATTCCACTTCCATCAGTACATCTTGATTCCACTATTTGGGGGCACCTAGAGTATTTTAACCTGTTGTGCCACCATGGAGGGCACCACTAATGTTATGCTAATTTTCTTAGCATCTAATTTTTTCTTTAAAATTGTTGGAAAAAGATAATCTGTGGGTATGTTTTTAAGACATTGCCATATATTTGCCGATTTTAGCTTTGTACCAACATAAGTCATTGTCAGTTAAAAGCATCTGAAAGACAGTAGAGAACTTAGAGCACTGATTGGATGGTGACTCGGAGAAACTGGGATGGATCCATGATATACTTCTGTGCCTGGGTAGTAAATCATTTAACCTTTGTTACTTAGATTTCCCAGGTGTAATATAGGGTCAAAATTTTAACACTCACCCACATCATATTGTTTTTTTGACAGCCTCTGAGTAAGCGACACTGAATTTTTGAACCTTTGGGGAACCACAAAGATGGTTTCAACCTAGCTTCAGAGTGCTGAAAAGTAGGCATTAATTCTCACTTTTATTTTGACTAGAATAAAGTTGGCTTATTTTATTATTATTATTATTTGAAGATTTATTTATTTACTCACACAGAACTGGGGTACAGGCCAGAGATGCAGAGGGTGAGAGGATTCACCAGAGACAGAGTGGGGAGCAGAATAGGCAGATCGACGAAGTACACTGCTGAGGGGAGCAGCGGGCAGGTCAGGAGAGGTCTGCCGCGCCATGTGGGTCACCTCTGGGGCAAGCAGGGATCAAACTCATGCGGAAGTACCTTACACTTCTTAGTGCTGTGCTTTAACCCGCTGAGCCACCAGGGAGGGCCCCTATTATTATTTTTATTTATTTATTTATTGTTTATTATAATTTTATTTATTTATTATTATTATTTTTAACCAAACAAGTAAATATGTTGCTTTAATTACGTGGAAGAAGTTCATTAAAGAAAGTACAGAAATGATTGTAGGAAATGTTTTTGTTTATTGGCTTTTCAGAGTTAGTCTTGGGCCGAGAGAGGACATGTTTTTTTTTTAAAGATTTATTTATTTGTGCAGACAGAACTGGGGTATAGGTCAGAGGCTCAGGGGCGGCGAGAGGCTTTACCAGAGACAGAGTGGGGAGCAGAACAGGTAGGTCGCTAAAATATACTGCTGAAGGGAGCAGCGGGCTGGTCAGGAGAGGTCTCCCGTGCCATGTGGTCACCTCCGGAGCAGGTGGGGATCGAACTCATGCGGAAGTGGCTTAAGCTTCTTAGTGCTGTGCTTTAACCTGCTGCGTCACCAGGGAGAGCCGAGAGGACATGTTTTAATGAATACCTTGTTTCCAAGCACTTCCTAATATGTGACCCCATTGGGGTTTGGATTCGTCATCTGTATTAGTGTGGAAAGTGATTAGTGTGGAAAGTGCATTTGCACTAATACTTACACTCACCCTTTGAGCCCGCCTGCCAGTCACGTGGCCTTCAGGGCCTTGAGGGGATTATTCCTGATGGCTGACTCTCTTTGACAATCTCTAATCCTCTCTCTCTTGCCCAGCTTTCCTTATCCTTTTCCGGAGTCGCTCACAGAAGGCATCCCACTCTACCCTCTCTTGGGACAAATCGAAGTAGTCTTCCTTCTGCAGCCACCGGACCAGGCGGTGGTAACTGTGCAGTTGTCTCCGATCGATAGGTTTGAGAAACAGCAACAGGAGGCGAGCAGTCCCAGGCTTGGCCACCAAATGGTAGGTGGCGAGCCTTAACTCCAGGTTGCACCAGGGACTTTGAAGGGCCTGGCAGCTGAGCACACAGAGGACGGTCCTGCTCTTTTCCATGCTGGTGACCATAGCATCCATCCTGTCCTGCCCAACTTCAAAGTCTCTCTCAGGCAGGCAGAGCCTTAAGCCTTCACCAGCTGGGAGTGGCTTCTCCAGGGCGGGGACCAGATCTTCCAGCACCCAGAGTTGGTCCTGCTCACAATAAGATATAAAAACATCGTAGTGGAACTGGCTTCTGGGCCGCCGCCCGCACAATTTCCACCAGAAGGCATGACGTAGGGTCCGGAAGTGGTAAAGCCAGGGCCACTTAGGGCAGCCGAGCAACGCGAAGAAGGTCAGCAGGAGCAACAGAGTGAGGCTGGTTAAAAAGCCCTGAAACTCAGAGTCTTGTGGGCAGTGACCAGAAAGGAAGGAAAGCAGCGGGGTCCTGGAGTAGTCAGAGGCATTGGCCCTGCAGATGGATGTCTCCAGCCCATATACAAAGGTGTTTGGGGCTCTCGCTGCCCAAGGCCCCACCCAAGCGCTTTCACACTGGCAAGTGAAGGTTATATTGGAGAAATAAACATATTGAGGCATCTGGGGAATTAGTTCCTGGAGGCTGTCATCCAGCCCCAGGGCCCATTCAGAGTTGATCACCAGCAGCCGCAGGCCCAGGCCCTGGAAACTGGAGATGGAGAGGTTGCCGAGGTTCAAGTTGCTCAGTGCCAGCACCTGTAGCCGAGGCAGCTCTTTGAGTAGCACCTCCAGCTTCACTGGCCTTGACTCAGATGGCCAGCTCAGGTCCCCCAGCTCCAGCACCCGCAGCCTGGGCATCGTGAGTAGACGCAGATTTTCTGTATCTGCATGGTCAGACCAGAAGTGCAAGTGCTCCAGAAAGGGGAGCTGTGAGAAGAATTTCGGGGGTTGTTGTCTAGAGAAAATGGAGGTGCTGCAGCCTCGCAGTGTGAGGTGACGCAGGGAAGGGAAATGGAATGTGTTGTTGTTCAAACTCAGCAGCATGTAAGTCGCTTGTACGGTCAGATTCTCCAGGAACAAGAAGGGTTCTCCACTGGGGATCCTAAAATCAATCAAAGAGTTTACCCATAACTCCAAGCTGAGCAGTGCCGGAGGCCAAGGAGGATAGATCTCCAGCATCTGAGAAGAACCCAGCCACAGATGGCTCAGCCTCTGGGGCCCCTGGAGCTGTCTGCCCCAGAGTCTCTCTAAATGGGTGCCCAAGAGGTTCAGGGAGGTGAGGGCAGGCAGAGAGGAGAGCCAGCCTGGCTCGAGCACCTTAATCTGGTTCCAACTCAGGTCGAGGGCCTTCAGTTCCTTCAGTCCCTCCAAGCTCTCACTGGATAAGTTGGAGAGGTTGTTACCACTCAGCCAGAGCTCCTGGAGCTGAGGCAGTGAGGAGAAGGCCCTGGAGGGCAGAACACGGAGCTGATTGTGCGACAGGTCGAACACTCGCAGGTGTGAGCTGACCAGTCCTTCGGGGAGCTGCAAGGTTGGGCCAAGCTCATTCATTGACAGGTTGAGCTTCCAAAGTTGGGGTAGGGTGCTTAGGAACCTGGGGGGCAGTGCCTGCAGGCCATTGGCATGAAGGCTCAGGACTTCCAGGGAGCCACAGCTTAGGAGATCCCCATCTTCTAGGTGGCGAATTCTGTTCCTCCCAAGGTTGAGTACATGAAGCCCAAAGTAGCCTGTCGTGTTCCCGGGCAGTTTTTCTGCACCTGTTCCCACAAGGGAGAGGGAGTCCAAGTGGCTCAGTCCTGAACCTGGGAGGTCTGATGCATTTAGCGGGGTGCCATCCAGTCTAAGGGAATGCAGCCGGAAGCCACGCAGAACTCTGTTCCCCACCCAGCTCAGCTGTAGGTTGGCAGAGAGATCCAGCACCTCCAGGGAGGGAGCTGGTGGGCAGGGCTTGGTTGCAGGAGAGGAACAAGGGATAAGGTTTGAGAAGAGCCCTTGCAGCTCCTGCAGCCCTGTCAGACAGCTGTGCCTCAGTGTCAGACGACTAAGACTGAGGGGTAACGCGATGCTCCGGCTGTAATTCAGACAGTAGCCCTGGAAGGAAAGGGTGTTGAGGAATTGAAGGGGCTCCAGGATGTCTGGGGGGAGGAACAGATTCAGGCAACAGGGAGTATGATGCTCAAAGGAAAGGTGCTGCAGCTGATCCAACCCTTGAAATGCCCCGGAGGTAATCTTGATGGTGCCCAGCTGCAGCCTCAGAAGCTGTAGTGTGGGAAAGTGTCCAAAGGCATCAGCAGGTAGCTCAGACACTGTGCCCTGGAGGCAGAGTGCCTCTATATTGCGGGGCACCACCGTTAGCGTCTGAATCAGGTCTTTCACGTTGGAGCATGAGGCAAAAAAATGCAGTCCTTGGGTTAAGGAACAGAACGGGACGTAGAAGGAGATGTTAGGCAGCAGGGAGCTGTCTGCTATTGTGCAGTTGGGAGAAGTCCATGCCCAGGTCATCAAGCTGAAGCTCATCATGGTCAGCAGTAAGGGACAGGAGCGAGTGAGAGTGGACAGAGGTCTTTCCATTCTTGGTACTGCTTCTAGGAGAAGAGGGGTAAGGAGGGTTAGGTTGTACAAAAACTGGTAAAGGTGCTTTGGAATGTGGGTTATTATTATTATTATTTTTTGAAGATTTCTTTATTTATGCATACAAGAACTGGGGTATAGGCCAGAGGTGTGGGGGGACGGTGAGAGGATTCACCAGAGAAAGTGGAAATGTGGGTTATTTTGAGCTCAGGTAAATTGAGGCCCCTCAGGCTCAAAGAAAACTATTACCACTCCTTTAGCTACCAGGAAGAATGTAAACCCCAACTGAGAGTTAATTTTAAGACATGAACATTCTGTTGAAGAGACCTATCCATATGGTAGGGCAAACATGTAATTGTGGAGCATCTGGTCTTTGTCACATGAGCTCCCCTCACCTTGTTATGAGAGTCCTTCCCTCGTCTCCCCTCCTTGAAGCCCTGTGTCTCTGTTTCTTAGTTAAAGAAACCTCTGAAGTGCATTCATCATAAACTATGTAGATTTCCCACGGGTATGTAATTGATATTTTTCTCCTGTTAACCTGCGTCATGTTGCTTTGGTTAACAACAAGAACCTAGAAGGGAAAGTAGAAATTTCTCTCTGCCCCTACACCAGCAATACCAGGTCTCGGTCTCCTGATATACACATTGCACAATAGGTTCTTAGACATGTTAGTGGAAGAGTTGTGAGATTAAAATATAAAGGTGATAGTTAACCAAGTAGGGGACACAGATTCTCATACTTAGGTGCGTCTCTCGGCAGGTAAAGAGCGGTCAAAATGGACAGAGAGAGAAACCAGCAGGAAGAAGAGGTGATTAGTATTGATCCCAGCAGAGAAACTGATACTGTTTTAAAATCTCAGGCTGAGGATAATTCACTTAAGGGAAACTCTCAGTAGTGAATGGGTAGAAAATGTATTTGTCTTATTACAAAATGGATTTGAGGAGGAAAAAAAGAGCAATGAAACAAACATAGTTAGGCCAGACTATATACCCTATTTCTTGATTCTTAGCTATGTCATGTATGTTAATATACATGTTAATATAATAGACATGTTGATATTTTATTCATGACAGTTGAAAGTCAAAAATACTAAGTGACTTCTAAACATTACAAAAGTAAAAGCAACAGAGTTTTGGCTATAGAGCTGTGTCCAGATTTCCTGCCTCCAAATTTGGTGGCCTTTCTACCACAAAAAGACAGGACCAAAGAGATATTCCCAGTGGATTCCACTACTGAGTGTATCCTGAGTTTATAGAAACATTCCAAAGTTACTTAGATAAACTTCATAAAGTGAGAAAGTAAATAGGAGAATGAAAAAAGAAAAAAGCAGTAAAAGGAGAAATGAAGTCTTAGCTTTATGTCAAGAAATTTCTTCTACTTTAATATAATTTAATACATCTTATAGTATTGGTAAAGCAAAAATAAATAGTAGATATTGACTCTGAAATGGTTTAAAAAAAAATGAAGTCTTGACAATTTTGTGTTCAGAACATAGTGTTGGCGGTAGGAAGTTCCATTAACGTCACTGCTTATTTATTCCTATCCCATAGTAAGGCCTCCAGTTTCCCATTATAAAATGAACAGAATCACATGGCCCCCATCTAGGTCCTTGAAAAGACAGAAGAGGCTCCTGCCCTTTTGCTCTGGGAGAGACAGAAGCCAGTTCCCCACGGTCAATGACACAGTCCTCTTGAAGATTTGGTCTTCCACAACATACGTCTTAGGGTAGGAAGATTTGGTGTTAAAAAACCGGCCCATTTTTTGTCTTTCCCTGGAGATAAGTTTAAGAATATCTTGCCTGGAGGGCCCCAAAAGCTGGCTCTGATAACGCTGAAGCTGCCTTTCTTTAAGAAACAGTTCCCCCACTGGGGGTGCCCCCAGACTTCAGTGAAAGTTTCAGAAGGGGCCCGAGGACAAGGGCCAGGAGATTCACAGTCTAGGACTTACCCTCATGAAACTACCACTTGGTTGCAGATGTCAGTCAATTTATACGATGCTGACTTGTTCCATTTCCAAGGCTATTCCTTTGCTCTATTTCTTGAGCCCACACTGCGTGACACAGTCGCTGACTGTGAAATAGCAAACCCTGCAGTTCTTGGTCTTCCTCTCTAATCTATCTTCCAGTAGGTCTCAGACACTGAAATAGGTGTCAGAACAATGAAGCGATGAGTCTAGGAATACAGAACAATGCTGGGCTGTGAGTGCCATTTGTCCTTAGAAAATCAGCTTTGATGGGTTGAGGGAGGCAGTGCACAGCTTCTCCACAAATGGTAATCGCTCATTTGCCAGTTGACTGTGGCAGGCTTTACCCCAGGTGTTCCCCTTAAGTCCTGCTTTCTTTGCTCTTGCCTTGAGATCTCTGGCTTCCACTAGAGAGGGCCAAGTCTCCATGGAAGGGGATTCCCTTCTTGCCTGTCACTTTCTACCACTTGCACTCCATCTTGCCCACAGAGCTTACCTGGTTCTGGGGCGGCAACTTGTTTGTCTCTGAGCAAAGTAAATGAAGGTCAGAGGAGACAGAGTTGAAATTTCTTAGGAAGAATTCTTCTCATCACCAGCAGCAAATGTCTCAAACCCATTTCTTCTATGAGTCCTTACAATAGCCTTCATCCTCTCAGATGTAGGTGTGACACCCTCTTTGTGGAAGGTGGGGGAGCCAGAACAAAGAGCAGTGTGTTTTGTATACCTTAATTTCTCCCAACTCAAATGATTTTCTCTCTTTTTCCTCTTAACCTTTTATTTCTTGACTTCCTCTTTTCTAGACTGGTTTGGGGATTTCAGTTCTCACTACTTTTATATCATATCCTCTTAAGTCTCAAAAAACAAGTTCCTTCTCCATTTCCCAGCAGAGGTTTTTTTTTTTCTTCTTTTTTTCCAATAAGAGCAACTCACTATCTCTACCATTTCTGTTTCTTACCTTTCATCTCACCAATCGCCTTAACATTGATTGAACTCCTTTATAACAGCAAGATTGAGAGGGTTCCATAACCGTACTGCCAGGAACTTGACTTTCAAATTGAGATTGAAGGGAGGAGAAGGAAGAAAAAAAGAGAAAGGTGGAAGAAAGAGAATAGTAGGATCATCTTTTTCAGAGATGGGCATGTGGGACTGCTGGACTCAGGCTGGCTTTTGGTCATTTGGAGAGAGGGAGGGACGCTTCTCCCAAAATGCTGACACATATGGCACTTGACTTAACTGAAAGAATTTTAAGGTATTTTTTCCCACTTTTGTTTTTGGAGTAACAATGCAAAGGGTGCAATTATGGAAATATTAAGGTAATTCACTTCTTGTTCTAAATGTCTTTTTTTCGAAGTGTTTCTTTTTTACTTTTTAGGGTATTATGTCACGTTTTATTTTATTGAGTTAACGTTGGTCTACAATGTGGTGTAGGATTGAGTGGTACAGGATCACCCCTGTCAGATACATGTCACCACACCAGACCCATCACTGAGGCACCCATAGTCCACCACCTCAGTCTGTTGTTAGTCTCCTCTGTTAATAGAAATTGGTTCTTGTATTAGTGGTTAGCAGGGCCTCTTGTGTGCTGTTCAGGTCTCTGGGTGCTAACTCCCACCCAGGAGGAGAGGGTTCACTTGTGATTCAAGTCAGTCACATATAATCTGATTTATTGGGGGCATCGTCATTAGACATATTAGATGAAGGAATACATATCATGCAATTTAACAACCAGTACAAAGGGGATAGATCACAAACCACAAGAAATTTCCCTACATCAGTGCGTGGGGAAGGGGACTGCTGCTTCTCCAGATAGAATTTCTAGCAGCAGATGGTCAGTCTGGAGAAAGCTTCTGAGATCCCACAGGTCTGGAGTCCAAAGTGCTTCAGATTCACTTGTTTGAGCTTCAGTGTTTATTACACTGTGTCAGAGGTGAATTATCAGAATGACTTTTTTGTCTTTTGGGAGTAGACCTCTCAGCACAGCTAGACTTTTATCTAACCTTAGTTCCTGTGTCCTCATGAACGAACGGTCACTTTCCCTAGCCACTCTGTTTCCTGATCAGTGAGTATCATTATCATATGCACACATATAACAGGAACTTGAGTGAGAATTTAAGACAGGTAGATGGGACGTCCCTATGGAATATTTTTCTACTGGGGTTTTGGAGACTCATTTCCTTGCACAATGCTTGTCTCTACTTCCTCTTTCTCTTCTCCCTGCCTTCTCTCTCTCTCTTTTTTATCCTTCAGACCACTGACAGCAACAATTGCAAAGCCAGGGTCTTCTGCCAAAAATGCTCTTTCTCTTCTCTAGAGAAAGAGCTGATTCTGAGTGAAATAGATGCAATAGGGAGAAAAATTGATCACCACGAAATGACCCCCATGAAAAAATCTTTTCAAGGGGTTTCCAGAAATTCTGGAAAGGTAATGCTATAAAATTTAGCAAAAACAGTAACATTCTTTGTTCCTAATGCACCCCTAAAATAGAGGAAAGCTTAGGTAACTAGTATATCTAAAATCATGGCTCTAAATTATATAGCCTTTTCATAAACATTAAGTTTTAAGATCTCCATCCTCTAATAGTCTGTATTAGATGAAGTATGTTTGTCTATCATGGGAAATTAGGAAATAAACACATATTAATACAAAAGGGGAAAAGAAGCATTTACATGATCTGCATTGCCATTCTATACTTAGATTTGTAATTACTTGGTTCACAATCTGCCTCTTTCATTCAATGACATATTTTATCTTTCATACATTTTTAATGTGAACCTTCATGTAATTTTTATAGTTCTACTTTAAAAAATCCCTTCTCCTTATATGCATTTCTACTCTACAGTATTCAGTTATGATTTAAATCCAGATTTTTTTCTTTTGGCCTGCAATTATAGTACAGAAACTAGCTGCTTAGCACATAGCTATTGTTTCCAGGAGAGCAGTTCAAAATTTATGCATCCTGAAGTCAGCAGAACTGCAGGATTCCTATGCATCCTGTAGTGCTATTCACTTCGGTGACTCTGAGTAGCATACTTGGATCTCAGCTATAAATGAGTATGAGAATATCTACCCCAGCTATGGCACAGAGTTTCTGAGGATGAATTGAGAGATTATGTCAAAGTGTTTCATAAATGATAAAGAACTTTACAAAAAGAAGATGCACAGAATTTCTGAGGATGAATTGAGAGATTATGTCAAAATGTTTCATGAGTGATAAAGAACTTTACAAAAAGAAGATATTAATAATATCAACTGAGATTGATTTCATGCTAATGTGTAAGATCCTATACTGATCAACCTCATTTACTCATGGTAGCTACTCTCTGGTGAAAGTCTTATCATTAACTCTATTAGAGATTTAGAAAAACAAGGAAGGAAGGCCAAATTATTTGCACAAGGTTACACTATTAGTGATGGTGAAACCAGTGCCATAGTGCTGGCCTTTCTTTTGTATAGTGCAAAGTGTGGTCCCTCCTGAGTTAGTCTGCTTGGGTTCTCACCATCACTAAGTTCCTGTTTCATCCTTAGTAAATTGCAGGTACAATAATAGCGACCTGACCTCCTTGGATTGTCATGAGCAGTAAATATAGTAACAACAGTGCTGTTATAATATAGTGGCTCAAATGTTAATTCTTTTTACTGTTGTCTAAAAGAGTCAAGTCTGTGGTGATGAATTTGCATATCTATACTTATTTAATTAATATATTCACTTTTTCTTTTTTTCGTAATATTGTCACAAGATTATGTGCCCCATGCTCTTAGGCCTCCCAAAATCTTGAACATACATAATATTTGGTTTTATAAATATTAATTTTTGAGGAAGATTCACTATTTGGTCAGGGTTTCAAAACAGCTAATTGTTTCCAGCATTCATATTAGAAAGAAAAAAATACTGACTTTTACTTTCATTTTCCTAAAGAAACCACTAGCTAGTACAAATATTTTTTAATATTACTTTGCTGTATTCTTTTGAAAGTTTAAATGAACACAAAACATAACAATGAAAGTCACTATCTTCTTGGTTCTATCCCAAAGACTTTGAAAAGATTCCATGACATATATCAAATAATATATTAGAAAAAGAGTTATGAAATGATCATAATGTTTGGAGTAATAAGAAGAGATCATTGAAGAGATAAGAAAAATTCATTAAAAAACCAGTGGTTGCACAAAAATATTATTTTAGTATTCTGCGACACGAGGTTCTGACACTAAGGCGGATATAGTTCCTGCCTGACTACTTGTTCTTTGGGGGCCACTTGCGTTTTCAACTAAGGCAACTAAGTTGAGAAATAACTTTTAGACTTAGTGAAATAATTTAATTATTATTCCAGTAACTTAATGGAATAAGAGGAGGGACAAGGAATGGGGAGGGTGGCAGTTAGGATACTAGTAAGGGTGGTTTGGTTAGGGTGCACACAGAGAGGAGAAAAATGTAACCCCAAATAAAAACTTAAAGGAACAAAAAAGTCATGTAAACTGGGAAGGGGAACAGTTAGAAATCACTCTCAAATAGATTACACAGGTGAGAGGTTTTCTGGCACAATCTGCCAAGCAGGACTGACGAAGGACCCTGACAAATTCTCACATTAAAGGAACAGAGTTGTCCTACTGGGACGCCCATTTTAAAACTCACATGTGCATTTCTATTTTTTAAATAGAGTGACCCATATCTTTGCTTGGAAACTGTTCTAAGGCAACACCCGAGAGGGAATATTATCATGTGCTTGTAGATTTCTTAATACTGGGATTTTTCTGTTTTCTTTTTGGATTAAATGATGAGTCTTAATTTAGGTCTGTGAAATTTTATCATGTTGAATCTTCATGAAAATTTTATTTTTCTCATAATAAAATTGGAAATAATGATAATGTCTAATGAAAGGACTTTTGGTAAGTGAAGGAGAACCTGGATCCTGAGTACTAATTCTGTGTGTAGGCATGTTTGTGTGGTGGTGACATTTATTTTTCCTTTTGAAAATTCCTTTTTATAGTTCTTTCAAGTCAACCTTAAGCTATTTGGAAGGACAATCTTCCTTCTAGGAAAAGATTTACCTCATCACAGAAAACTTTCAATCCATACTATGTTAAATACAATATTATAGTTCCTAAAGAAATAATAGTAACAAAACTTGCCATAATATCAGAACAAGCCTGGTATTATGATAAATAAAACATTAAAGAATTATAAACATAAATTGTCTCCTATGATTGAATTTCAGATTTTCTTTATTATTTTTCCTTAATTTTTAAAACATTTTTCAGCAACAAAAAATAATTAATTTTAATTATTTGGAGAAGATGTCCTATCACTGAAAATACAGTTAATCGACTCAGCTAATTTTTGGCAACTCTTCATTTTGGTAAAAATAATAGTCCTCAGATGATTGCCCTTTTGAATCTTTTGACTGATGTTGTTATAGATGGGATTAGGGGACCTGAAAGGGATAATGTGTAAAAGAAACCACATGTCTGCATGTCAATACATGTAGTAATAGTATGAAGGCCACAGAAATTCTTGACATTGCTTCTAAGTGTTTATTTATTAGAAATGAGAATATCAAAAAAATAATATGACAAGAACCACAATCAGGAAAAATATATTTCCTACTTTTATTTATAGTCAATTCAACACACAAAATGACATGGTTATTTGATCATAGAACTGTTACTATAAATGATAGAATAGAAGATAAGAATTCTTATTAGAGAGGAATCATGTGAATTATCCAGTACCCTACTGAAATGTGTGTATCCCTTAGCTAATATGCACTGTAATTGCTAAAGAGGAACACAACACTTCAACATGCATTTGAATAAATGTATTATTTATTCAAATAAATAATAAGTATTATTGAAAAAAGTGTTATAAGTATTATTGAATAAATTATAATAATAATTTATAAATAAGTATTATTGAAAAAATTGATTTATTCAAAATCACTAGACTCATAATTGAAGATTTGTATAAGGATATAATTCAGACTGCTCTTTAATTCAACTATACTGACCTTATAATAAAGGAATCCTCTACTATGTGTTTGTTATCTTATGTTGAAACTCCCAGAACTTTCCTCAGGGCTGTCTTAATTTCCTTGTTTCGGAGACTATAGATAAGGGGATTGAAGAGTGGGGTCACCATGGCATAGAATAAAGTTGCAACTTTTTGCATCCCCGCAGAATGCCCAAGTCCCGGGCTCACATACATGATCATCAGAGACCCATAGAACAGTGACACCACAGCTAAATGAGACCCACAGGTGGAGAAGGCCTTATGTCTCCCAGTGGCAGAAGGCATACGCAACACAGCTAATAGGACAAGAGTGTAGGATCCGAGGATGAAGAAGAAGTTACCAAAGATGACTAATGAGCTTAGAGTGTAGCAAAGCAGCTGGGTTCTTGGAGCAGAGGCACAAGCCAATGAAAATAGTGGCCCTGGATCACACACAACGTGGTCAATAACATTTGGACCACAGAAGGGCATCTGAGAGATGAGAACAATGGGGGCCAGGAACCACAAAAATCCACAAACCCAGCAGATGATAACCAGTTTGGTGCAGAGATGGACTGTCATGATATTGGGGTAGTGCAAGGGACGGCAGATAGCAAGGTACCGATCAAAGGCCATGACAGTCAAAAGGAAGCATTCAGATGTTCCCAAAGAGAAAAAGAAATAAAACTGGAGGAAGCATCCAGCAAAGGAGATGATCTTTTTATCTGAGAGGAAGTTGACCAACATCTTGGGGACTGTAGAAGAGACATACCAGATCTCTAGAAAGGAGAAATTCCCCAGGAATATGTACATGGGGATGTGGAGTTTCCTGTCACACCACAGTGCACAAACAATGGACCCATTGCCTGTTATGGTCAGAACATATGTCGTAGTGAAGAGTGAAAAGAGGAGGACCTGAATCTTCCATTCAAAAGAAAAACCTAGGAGTATAAATTCTCTTATAAAAGCAAAGCTGGAGTGTAGCTCAGAGACATTCATGGTGTCAGTAACCTGCAAGATCAAGAGACATTTTCTTATCAGTTAGATCCAGTTTCAGTTGTGTACCTCTTTAAGAATGAAGCGAAGATAATGAATATGGTATCATTTTTCAAAAGAATCATCTGTTAGGAAGAAAACATAGTCTACTTGTTCTTGACTATGTCTTCAGAGTTCTGGTCTCAGTAGGTAACTGGTTGCACAAAACAAGCATTTGTCTTATTCTAAATCTTGCCTTTACATTGCCATCATGATAAAATTAGGTAAAGTTAAGTTCATTTTGTAGGCTTGTTATTTTGGGGTGAGTTTTGATGGTTTGTGGATCGCTTATAATACATAACTAATACTTAATAAAAATAATAATTTTTTTATCCTAACCTGATCTTGCAGTGAAGCAGACTCAGTAAAGGAGGTTTAAATTTTATTATTATATCTTGGTTAAATATATTATTTATGGCCCTCTCTGTTGGCGCAGTGGGTTAAAGCACAGCATTAAGAAGCTAAAGCCACTTCAGCATGAGTTTGATCCCCACCCTGGGAGGTGACCCACATGACGTGGCAGACCTCCCCGACCCTGCTTCGTTGCTTTGTTGATCTGCCTGTTCTGCTCCCCACTCTGTCTCTGGTGAATCCTCTTATAGCCCCTGCACCTCTGGCCTGTACCCCAGTTCTGTATGCATGATAAATAAATCTTTTTAATATATATATATATATATATATTTCTCAACATGCTACTCAAATATGAAAAAGAAGAGGACATATTTTATGCTAAGTTGGTAGTAATGATTTTAAAACTGATGTTTGCATTTCTGCTGCTATTACTACTAGCTTATGCACCCATAGACAAGTAATTTCATAATGTTACTTACCAACTTGACTTTTAATCTTGTGGTGTTGCAGCGTCTTCTATAGAAAACAATGGTTTTAATTTTTTGCTTACTCTGTCACAAGTACAGAAGTTTACAAAATAAAAACTAGGTATGGGACTTGACTTTTTGAAATGTTTTACATAAAATTTTGGGATTGGTTTTTCTTATATTCTTGTCTAAAGTAGAAAATTCTTAGTGACAGAAGTCAAGTACTTCTGTCATGAGTAAATGTCCTTCAGCCACACTCTTCATGGAAAAAAAATGCTTTGTGTTGAGTCCCTGATTTTTTTCATGTGCGGCAGTATGCAGGGATGTGGGCCTGAGAGTTGTGGCAGCTTATATTTTGGGCACAAACAAAACTTTTCAAAAGGAATTTTTCTTCTAACCAATTCTCTACTACTTCTCTGAGGAGTCTTTTAGAGTGATTTGTTAAAAGTTATGTTAGATTCTTTTAGGAACATGAATCCTTTTAAAATCCTTTAAAAGGTACGTTATTAAATCTACATTAAGAAATCATGGCCTGAAAGGAGGTTAACTAAATATTGTCATGACCCTTCACAGTGCTCAAACAAAAAAGCTGCCTTGGTTTTGGCATTGAGTAAGTCTCTGAAGTACATGTTTGAAAAGTCATATCCTCCGCCTCCAGCTAAAGATTTTTATTTCTGCACAAAGATTAAGAGTGCAATTTCTTGATCACATGTTCTCCAGAGATTTGGCCTCTATAGAATTAAGAAAGTTCTTTTCCTCCAAGTCAGTAGATCTTAAAAAAGTTAATAATTACATATCCTCTGAGGACTCAGTATAGACTAGTAACAACTTCTTGGAGGCATCAATATTTACATATAGTGTGTCCATCTGAAAGTACAGATTCCAAAATGCTTCCAGAGTACAGTCTGAGGTCCAGGAAGACACATTACATCACCAAAAATCCTGATTTAGAATTCAGGAACATTCAAATATTGCTGTGCCAATGTTGGAGGTACAGAGGTGATGAACAGAGTTGAATGAAAAAATGTTGAGAACATTGTAAGAGTTGGCAATGAAAATGCATAGAATTTAGGAATAACCTTTAAAAGGATGGTGGCATGGTAGAATCTGTTAGGTCTGAGAGAAAAGAACAGGAATTATCAGTATTAGAATTAGTTGACTGAAACACCTTAGAGGAACATTTGGTTCCCCAAATAATATGAGATGGTACTTGCTTTTGTTGACTAGTATCTCTTCCATTTTTATCTTAAGCCATTGAGGTCCACACAGAATGACTAAAATAGGTAAGTGGAAATGAAAGTTCAGACTATATCCTGTAAAATCACTGGGGACCTCAGGATTTTTTTACCCTAGGATCAATGATCTGAAATATCTAAAAATAAACTTCTTACATAGAAAGACTAAAGAAGATAACTTATATCTTTATTACCTTTTTTGTCACTGTACTTCAGTCCTCAGACACTACTAAAATATAGTCTTGATCTGCTTATCTGTTTGTCTTTTCAAAAATCATCAGTGGTTTCTTTATTTAAAAAATTTGTTCTCCATAAATCATCCTCAAATTTTCTTCTCTATCTTATCTTTTCCAACATCTTTTTACAGATAAATTGGGTAATATTGCATTATCTGAATAGCTTTCAGTTTCCCATTTTTGATTTTATGTACTTATCTATTTTTTTCTCACAGATTCTAAAGTCTTTGAAAGTATAGAACAAATATTCAACTTGGATTAATCAAGGTGATAAATATACATTGCATTTATTGGTCTTCAATAAATAATTGCTGAATAAGTGGCATTCTTTTAGGCAAGTTTTATCTATAAAATCAACACAGCATCAAAGTAAAAAAAAAAACAACTCCTATGTTAAAGATGTTAAAGAGAGGAGGAAGGGAGAGATTGAAATAGGGTAAAACTTGTTAGGAGAGACTTCTCAGAACGCTCTTTGAGGAAATGACTTGAGATGTGATGTGAACAGTACTGTTCAGAGTGTGTTAATGGACACATGCAGACGTCAAATTGTTTCTACCAATTCATGAACAATTCAGAAATTAAGATTAAGCATTTTGACACTTATGAATGACTAGCTTTATGTGTAATAATCTAATGATATAAAATAAGCTATATTTGTTCTTTCACATTTCACTTTTATTTATCTTTATTTTGTTTCACAACACTATCAATTGAAATGAGTTTGAAAAATAAAAATGTTTCAGAAGCAGTAACAGGATAAATAGAATTTAATCTTAGGGAGGAACACAGTTTAAATAGGAGTAATTGTAAGGGGAACCAGGGTAGAAAGAAAAGCTGCGATGTGCATCTTTGGAGATAGGAGAGGAAAGGCAGAGGAAGGAGGAGGAGGTGGAAAGAAAGCCTGAAGGAATGGAAAGGAAGAAACAGGCTAAAAGTCCAGCAAAATAATGAGTTGCTTCCCTAAAGGAATGTCAATCAAAAAATTTTCTATTTTCTAGACCCATTTCCCATGTTTGGAAACCTGCATTTAGTTGGAGTTCCTAAACCAGTATATAACTGGAAGACTAATTTAGCTGTCACTAAGCCCTCTGCCCATGCCTGCTGCATTTAACAATTCCTTTTGTTCAACTTCCAATATGCTTTGTATTGGTTAAATCTTAAATTTTTGTATTCAAAATTTTGTCTTTCTTCTTCAAATTAGATAATTTATCTCTCTCAGTATCTATGTGTCTATCTATCATCTATATGCTTACATAGAATTGTGGGAAATATTCATAACATAAAGCACTTTTTAAATATATGGTCCAGTTGTGTTATTTATATCTGTACTATTGTGCAACCATCACTACCATCCATCTCTAAATTTTTCATCATCCCAAACTGAAAGTCTGTACCTATTAAATAATAATATTCTCTCTCCTCACAGTCCTTAGCAACTACTGTTCTACTTTATATCCTATGAATTTGACTTTCTCAAAAAGATCTCACAAGTTGAATCATATAACACTCATCATTTTGCATCTGTTTCACTCAGTATAATGTCTTCTAGGCTCATAAATGTAGCAAGTTTTGGAATTTCCTTCTTAATTTCCCTTGTATGTATATATCACATTTGGTTTAGCTTATTCCATTCATCTGTCTATGTGCTTGGTTTGTTTTTATGCTTTGGCTATTGTGGACATTGCTGTTATGAACATTGGTGTACAAGTATCTGTTTGATTCCCTGCTTTCAGTTCTTTGGGTTATATATTTAAAGTAAGTTATAGGATCATATTGTAACAGGTACAGGTTTCATGGACTCCGCCCCACTCCAGATGCTGGAACTCCAAATCCCATCAGTACCAAGAAGAAGCATGCTGGGACGTGAAGGCGGAGCTGAGCAGCCAGGTTGGGATAAAACCAGACATGTGGGCTCTGGGGGGCTCTTGGCCTGCTGGTTCACAGCTGATCGTTTTGGTGCTCAATTGGTTTTCAGCGTGCCGGCGGAGTCCATGAAACCTGTACCTGTTACAATATGGCAATTGTATGTAATATTCTTTCCATTGAATAATTTTGGCATCCTTGTCAAAAGTTATTTACCCTTATACACGAGGACTTATTTCTTCATTTTTGTTCTATTCTATTGGCTCCTAAGTCTGTTTTTATATCAGTACGAAATTGTTCTGATTATATAACATAGGAATATGTTTTGAACTCAAGAAGTGTGAAATCTCCAACTCTTCTGTTTTATAATTGTTTTTGTTATTTGGAATCTTTTGCCAGTTATAACTGAGTATGGTGTTAACTGAATGCATTTTATATGTGTCTTTATAACTTCAAAGAAGTTTCTTTCCATTTGTAGTTTGTTGAATTTTATTTTTTAATCATGAAATGGTGAACTTTTGTTTTTCTATGTAAGGAAATTTATACAGAAAGGCCAGAGAGTTCATGTATATAAAGAGCTTGCTATCACTAGATAGAACTCTGGCTTGCCTTAGCCATGAAAGAGCTCAGTGTGTAACAACAGAAATCACAGAACGAATGGTGTCTGTACAGTGTAGAGACTCACTTTAGGAACCATCTGATTTGAGGGAAAATACTCTCCCTATCAGAAACTAGTGAGGTGTATGACCCTTTAGAAGAAGAGGGGAGAGGAGAAAGAGGACGGGTGTAAGGAAAAGGAAGAAGAGGACAGAAAGAGGAGAGAAGAGAGAGAGAGA